TATGGCCCTTAAGAATTTGCGATGAAAAATTTCAATCTGGCTTAAATCCTCAAAACCCCACACCTCACAGCCATATAACAGTATTGACAGGATTAACTGATCAAATAACTCACACTGTATATCCAATGATAATCTTAAGCTTTGCACCTTTGAGGTCATTGCAAATGAGGCTTTTCTTGCCTGAATCACCTGTTTAGATATACCCTTTTTAAAATGACCATTGTAATTAAATTTAACCCCAAGATACACAAAATCATGTACCACATTGATAATACCGTTCCCATACTTATAAACTGGGTACTTGTGTACATTTCCTCTAGAGAATATCATTATCTTTGTTTTTTTTCTTATTTATAATAATTATAATAATAATAATAATAATAATAATAATAATGATGATAATAATAATATTACTACTTCTACTAATACTACTAATATTACTACTTTCAAAACAAATAAGTTGACCGATAATTAATTAATTAATTGATAATAACAATACACGGGCCGGCTGGTTGTGCGTATTATAACCAACACGAAAAAGCCAACAAAAACATAAAACGTATAAGGCGCTATTTCGTTTTTCAACGGCTGGTTCAAGATTACCGAATATTTGTGGGTCACCACAAATATTAGATATGGTTATATTTATTGATATTTCAGCCGTCTCTGAACCGATTTCGATCAAACAAAATTATTTTGTCATCCGCAACAAAACTCAACTATCAAAGTGTCATATTATCATTATCCGGTTTCAGCTGCGTCGCCTTGATAAGACGCTGAAGAATTCACAGCCCGGAATTTCTTCAAAATAGGTACCCATTTACTACACCTGTGTGGAGAGCGGCATGCGTAGATTAATGTCTTTCCACATGACGTTAGTGCCGCAGCGGAACTCGAACCAAGAACTGTGTGATCCACAGTCCGGTGGCGTATCCACGAGACCACGACAACACTTAAGGGACCATTCCACAGACTCATGAAACAGAGAGAGAGAGAGAGAGAGCAAGATTAGATCCCAATGGAATGCATTATTTGTCGCACAAGAAACCTAATAACGGGATTTGCCTTGTGTAAAGTTCTTGATAATTTGGGCCTCATTCTTATAAAAACACATGCAATTGATTAAAATAGATCGCAACTTGAAAACAATGGAAACTGTGTAATAAAGAGATAGGAGTTTGCGAGTTTGCGATCGATTGGAGGATTTGCGATGAATCGCAACTTTTATTAAGTCAGGCCTGCTCCCTTGTCTGCACTGCACCCATTGTAAGAAGAAGAAGAGAGAAAAAAACACCCCTTAACATTTGATTAAGGTGAAATAAAGATATGGGCTACTCGAAGGGTGCTAATTGAATGGTGCAAACAAACAACCAAACAAAACACAATTTTTTTTCTCGTGAATTTTCATTTTCACATATCAACACCTAATATAATGGAGAAAAACAGTGTCGCGGCCACCTTGCGCTTCACATTTTCGCATTATTAACATGCGCCATCTAGAGGTCAAGGTAGTATTGTTTTCAGACAAATTGGTAGATCGAGATCAATTGACGAATGAGTAGGCAGGCAGGGAACCGAACGGTCCGAACAGTAGCAAGATATTTCAAAATATCAGGCAATAATGCCCACGTATCTAAAAATAAAAAATACTGGTATCAGAACTTTTATTATTGTTAGTGAAAATAAGTTCTAACTGGTAGAGGTCAATACAAGTTTAACGGTCCACTGTGACAGTCTTCAAAGATAAGAACTTTACCAGGATTATATCCGTCCGGGCGAGTATAGCTCCTGATAACTGATCGAAAATTTGTTTATACGCCATAGATGCAGTCAAGTTTACAGGAGCTTTTTTGTTTTGGTCTGAACCCCCCCCCCTTTTTTTTACACTAAAACCGTTCTCATGAAGCCTAGATATTTTTTAAATATACATGTATATATATATATATAGAGAGAGAGAGAGAGAGAGAGAGAGAGAGAGAGAGAGAGAGAGAGAGAAAGATTTCATCTTGTGAAGGTGGAAATGGAAATAAACTGCACTAGATACATCGGGGGACTCCGAAAAAAGGGATGCAGCGCAATATCCGTCGATAAATAGAAAGTCAAAATCACAAATTTTCATTTGTGGTTTGCAATCATCATAGCTATTGATCGGAACTTTTTGTTAATCATTTCTAGTATGAAAGTAATATTCATCTTTTAGTCAGTGCTTCAAGCTTGGGACGAAACGAGAATGGTTATTGCTATAGTCTCAGGCGCAGGTAGAAAACACGGTAATAACACACACGTCTTGCAATGGTATTGATTGATTTTCTACACTGTTGCCCATAAAGTTGGAATTAATTCTTCTAACCTTGGTGTCATGAAATGATAGTGACAATATGATTCATTTTTTATAATATAATTTATAGATCGAACCTTATGGCTCTGTAGGAATGATGAAAATGTAGCATTTGTATGCGTTTTGAAAGTGCATTGGATATTATTGTCCCCTGATTGTTGGCACTTTGCATTCCAGATTAAGTATTCTATATACAGTGTCCATGATACATAATGGGCGTAGGGTATTATACTGCTCTTAAAAAGTCATAAAGTTGAGAATTATTATTGCACGAATATAAAATGCATTTTTGTTGCGACACAAATAAATGATCTATTGGCAATTTCGAAATTGCAATGTCTTTGCCAGAGATCCGGACTTTCAAATACTGATTATTTCATTTTTTGTAATGTGTAATGTTTACTTTTGATCTAGCTTTGTTCATGGAGTGCCCAGTCAATTTAGGCATTAAAGCACGTTGTTTACTTAATGTTATCCGGTGTTTCTTTATATGGTAACTCATTAGAACAAAACAGTTTTCATTCATTAATTTGAAAAGAGTCAGTATTAAATAATAAATTGTATGATAATAATAATAACAAATAATTGTTTTAATAATATTAATGATAATATCTATAATAAAACAAAAATATTAATATTGATAATAATAACAATAACTACAAAACAAGTAGGAGAAGAAGAAGAAGCATAATAAGGATAATATTAATAATAAAAACAATAATAATTATAATAATAATAATAACAATAATACAAGAAGAAGACGATGAAGAAGAAGAAGAAGAAGAAGAAGAAGAAGAAGAAGAAGAAGAAGAAGAAGAAGAAGAAGAAGAAGAAGAAGAAGACGAAGAAGAAGAAGAAGAAGTAGAAGAAGAAGAAGAAGAAGAAGTAGAAGAAGAAGGAAAGAACAAGAAGAATATTGGGTTCTTGTAAAGTGTTCATGTCTGTCAGACTTGACACTCCTTGCGCTCGACAATCATTAACCCTGCTTTTGCATACCTGCCATTACGACGCTCTAGCATTTTCAGGAATTAAGTCTCGCCAGCATGGGTGTCGATCTGTAATTGATACCTATTGTTCAGGGGGATGATCTATTCATTTATCCCCCCCCCTGAACAATAGGTATTACGTAAGGATCGACACCCATGCTCGCCAGGTACGCATTTACCTCGCCTGGGTCGAATGCGGCAAATGTAGATTAACGTCTTACCGAAGGTCGTTAGTGCTTGAGCAGGGATTCGAACCTTGTACACTGTGGTTCACAGTCCGGAGCCAACAACTAGACCGTCACACCTCTAGTCTAATGGAGGACAAATCCTCACTACATGCGCGCACACCAAAAGAAAAAGAGTAATCGCAAACCATTTTGACCAACCCTGCAAAGATTGTGTTACTGTTCTAATCTAGAAATTTGACTTTTTGATTAAAATTGAACAACAAACAGACTGGTCCGCATATATGCACGGACCTAACATGATTCTACTAATTCAGGTAAACCTGACCCTGTCTAAAATTACATTTAACAAAAGGAAAAGTTAGACCTCAGACAACTTCAATTTGGTAAACACGGTTTTGAACAAAAGCAAATTTGAGTCTGTAGAATACAGGCCGAACTGTTTAACATTTTGAAGACGCTGGTACCCATGATTTGATAAAATCGATGATTTTTGAAAATTATTGGGAAATTCTCTCACCAACTTCCTTTCATTTTCATCATATCCGGGTTAGTTTCTCATTTATACCTGGATTTGTGTTTCTCTACTTTTTCATTTCATGTGTACTATTTGCTCGACTATTTTGTTCTCTAGTGATGATAAAAGATAATTCGATAATGTAGTCCATCACTTTGTAACTTAAACACTCATTCAATCTATTTAATGCATTGGGGTATGACTGAGTAGAATTATTTCACCAGGGGTCTGGCGTTTCCTGTATGAATCAACTTTCTAGTTTCAACCGGATTTTTCTTCTTTCTTTTTTCTTTTTGAAATATGATATAAAGTGAGGGGCTTGATTATTAATAATTTTCCAAATATTCCGGGGGCACCAGTATCTATAGCCCCTACATCTAGTACGCCTGTCATCGAATGACACGTTTATAGTCCTACCTAATTTCTTTGTAATCTTCAAGGTCAATCCTGCAGCGTTGTATAGATTTAGATTCAATTCATGTCCCTATGCCGATTTGTTAGACAACTTTAAAAATTAGTTCACCACTTTTGTAGACATGAAAAACTCATGAAAAAAGGCAACATCATCGCTTCAATTTGTATGACTTCATCATCTTCAGGTTCATTCTATGAACTACCATATTCACAACCAACGTAACGATACTTTAAATTATTAGATATTCCTCATATTCTCATACATTTTCGTCATACTCTATCATAGACTTATACGCACCGTGCATCAGCACAATTCTGTTTTTTTTTTCTTTTTCATTGCGAATCATGTTATGAAAACGTGTAGGATTTATCTTTTAATTTAAGTAAATTTCTAGACTATTTCAACTACTTCCACGACCTTTTCAAAATGTTGAATAGTATACATTTGCTAACACCTTATTTCTTTATCTCATTCGCAATCATCAAATCCAATCCACAATGGTATTTCATAACCACACTCCAATTCAAGACATTAAAGAGAGGAAACTTGCAATCAAATATTCGATATTCAAACTATAATTCATATTTATAACAAACATAACCATGTACATAAACACCAATCACTGAATAATTATTCACGGAATGTTGATGATTAGTAAAAGGGACATATTTCCATGTGCTTTCCAAAATTAGCTAATTTAAAAAAAAAATCAAATCAGATCAGAATATGTATAAACAAAATATTAAAATAAGACGGTATTCGCCATGTAAATAAATTGGGAGATAACATGAAGTTAGGTCTATATCGGTATTATACCCGTCGTAACAATTATTTTCGTTCATTCCCAAGTATAAAACGAAATACTGTTTGGTTCATGCGCGTGCTTTTTTCTATTGAATTATTTCTTGAACAGGGACCATTTTGCCTCAATCATAACTGCATAGACATTAGTGAATTCCGACATGTACAACTATAAATACTGTCCTTACATAAATGTATTCATTGATTTCCTTAGGCAAACTAAGAAGAAACGAGTATATGTTTTTGTTCCTGCTCAAAGAATACTCTATGAACGTTATTTAAAAAAAAAACATTTATACAACATTGCATCCCCACATATAAAACATAATTGATCGAAACCGATGTTCTTCATCTTAATCAGATTAAACTACCCTGCGGCTTATCTAACTGTCAAAAACAAATACAATTCGCCTAGGGTGAATCATAATTTTGCACAGTTGATTTGAAAGAAGAAATAAAAGATCCACATAGGCTAGAAAGGAATATGAAAATATTTCTGCTGTAACAATCGTAGCGAGTGGTGTATTGGTTAGGACATACATTTACAAATAATTAAACATAAGAATTGATAAACTTATCCTTCATATAAAATAAGACAACTAAATACAATGTACGTTATAAGTATATAGAAATATCTTTGGTAAAAGCTAAGTGAGACCTACAATCTGTTCATAGGCCATTATACATGTACATTCAACAACTTGCTAGGTCCTTGCTAATTTAATCTTCAAATTTACAGAACTATAGATAATGAAAAAGTTGATGTGATATGTATTTCATTAATTGTTTATTATGACGCACTTAAGTACTGGCCTCAAGTACTTAAGTACTTTTTTCCGCAAGATAAACAACCGTAGTTTGAGGTAATCGACACTGACTGATGGTAGAAAATCAATTTATACTTAGTCAGTGATATAATACGAAAAGTACTTGATATGAATAAATACTGAATGAAAGACATTTACACTGAATGAATCCTTAGGTATTGGGTAACATTATAGGTTATTAAGTATCGTGACTTATGAAGAAAAAAAAACCCATCAAATCTGTTATTTTACTTCATATTTTGTCTGCTCTAAGCTCCAGTAGGACTATCAACTGAACACAAGAATGAAGTATATGAAATACATAAACGATATAAGATATGGTCGATAACATTTCACCCATATCATACGACTGACGAGCCTTTTCTCTCTTGCATTGTAATGAACAAAATATCTTTGGTTTCGATAATAACTCACATTTTTGATCAATTTATTTGCTGGAGAAATCACATTCTAAACAGACACATAATTATATAAGGAAATAACGTTTCAAATGATTGTGACATCATGTCGCGTCCGACTGTTGCATAATTGAACGGGTCATTTTTTTCCTATTTCCAATAAAAAAAAATTAATGGTATGTGTTTGTCTGAAAGAGAAAGATAGACCCCATTTATTGCCTATTCAGTCCTCGCTCCAGTGTTTCATCAAGCTCACTATGGAATAACGCAAATAATATCATTAATATGATTTAGTTACCTTAATGATGTCCCTTCGGTAGTGACAATAACAGATTAAGAAAGGTATGTAGTCTATTTCCTGGAGATCAAATTGATATTCAAGTCTTTGGGTCGTCTGGCTAGTCCGTCTGTCGCCTCCATGCTCACTTCACCGTCTTTGGAATGCTCGATAGAGAAATTTTGGAGGAAGATGGTGAAGAAGAAAAAGAGTTCGATTCGCGCCAAATCCGATCCGATGCATCGTCTGCGTCCGACGCTGAACGGAATCACATGTTTCTTCATCTCCTGGTCGATGGCGCCATCGGAGGTCAGGAAACGACTGGCATTGAAGACTTGAGGTTCATTCCATACCTGGGGGTCAACGTGAGCTGAATAGAGGTTGACGAAGACGACGGTATCCTTAGCAACGAAGTACCCGTCGAGCACGGTATCGGAGGTGGTGCTATGAGGGATGGCAAACGGGACGGGAGTCGCGTGACGCAATATTTCTAGGAGGCAGGATTGCGTGAATGGGAGCTTTTCGCGGTCTTCGAGCGTCGGCAGTCGATCTTGGCCCACCATCGTGTCAATCTCCTCCTGGACTTTACGCTGGGTATCTGGATGTGCAGCCATGTAGAGTAAGCACCATTCGAGCGTTGTTGAAACGGTCTCAAACCCAGCGCCGAAATAGTCAAAACAAGTTTCGCGCAGCATTACGTCATTAATGCCAGCTTTCTTGTTATTATTTTCGTTGTAACGTCGTCCTGACGTGACGAGATGGTCGAGGATGTCGCGCTCGGAACCGTCCTCGTATTCTGCGGTATGCACTTCGAGAAGATTCCCACCAACGAATGCACGGAACTCGGTCAGCAAGGATTTAAATTCGTTGGTTGATTTCCTGAAAAAGACACGGAGCCACGGCATGAAATCGACGGGGTTGCCGCTTCCCGTAGCGGCTGTGAAACGGTCGGAAATATTAAGTAGGTTCAGCAGGGCTTCGTCCTCATAAGTGTGTCTTTTGCTGAACATGAACCAGCACATGACATTACTGACAGCAAGTCGGAGAACGTTTCTGATATCGACAACATTATCTGGACGTGGTTTGCATTGGTCACCATTTGCGTTGTTATTATTGTTGTTGTTGTCGCATGCGATAGATTTGAAATACTGTACGAGTTCTGAAGCCTCGGTCGAAACTACCGATTCAACGAACTTCACCTGACTACCAGCGGTGAAATGACGGAGTGAGGATTCAGCGAGTTTTCGATGCAATTTCCATGATTCGCCATAGTTCCCGAAAGACAACGATGTCCCACTTTTGACACCAGATTTGATTAGCTCAAAAGTGTAGAGATCGGGACGTCCAGAGAATACCACGGCCTGTTTGATGAGCGCCTTTTGGATGGCCTCGTAACCATTCAAAACGAGCACCGGGCGACTGCCGAGCCGAATCTGAAAGATGGAGCCGAACTTCTTCGCGAGAGCCGTCAGCGAGAGGTGGGGTGCGGAACGACCAAGAGACAGCATATTACCAAGCACAGGGATCCCCCATGGACCTGGAAGAGGTTTGGCTTCATCCCCGCTCGACTTAGCCCTCATCTTCATAGATGATTCTGTTAGCCATACCCGGGTGACGAGGATGACGACGGTGACGAGTAGGAAATACGACGCAATCGTCTGGCTCAAGTACTGTGGACCTGGATTCATGGAGGTTGTCGCACTGACGTCCAACATCATGGAGACTTTAAGTGAAGATAAGGTTGGAAGTTAAACGTCAATGTATTACTTTCAATTCAATCTCGGAATGAACTTGCATGTAATATAATTGATTTCGAAAAGTCGTGATCAACTGTGGTATGCATCAATGTCGAGCAGCTTGAGAAATGATGACTCTTGATGTATGAGTGCTCTTAAATAGTTTTGTGGCTTATCAGTTACGCAAGCAACGAGTTTTCGAAGACGGTTTCTTTTGTCAATGTTCACTGATAGCCAGTCTACCAATTAAATCGATCTCGTGAGCCCATAGAAGTTATTCATCAATAAATAAAAGTGCGTGCGTCTCTTCGTGCATGGGGGGCATAAACATTAGTGCATTCCGCCGAGTTTGCGTGCACTCTTTTCTTTTCTGACGACCTCGTCAACGTAGTCTTAATATATATACTGTGCAAAAAATACATCGGAATTCAGAAGCTTTATTTCCCCGTTAATCTATAAAGTGAGTAAAAAGAAAGTAAATAATCTGAATACATTTTTAATTAAATTATCTATGAACTCTATAAAGGTCTTGTTTGTGGGTCATAATTACATTCCTTTTCTGCAATTACAAATCAGTGCCTGTAAAAATAGACTAACAAATATCGTCAGCTAGTCCTTCGGCGCGCGGGCGTTGTACACCTGTAAGTACGGGCAGAGCTTGCGTGCGAGCCGACCCCCTAGCCATTGTATCGAAGCGAAAATTGCGTGCGAATGAAACCGCCTCCTCTAAAAGAGTGCACTCTACTGTGACTGACTGATTGAAATGTAAAAAAAAGAAGAAATCATAGGGGCTTGAAGTAGTTTGACAAACACAACCATTTACATAATGATTGTTGGCATATTCGCACGCAAGTCTGTAATAATCCCGAGCGGACATTGTTTCGTAGAGATAAAGGTTTTGGGGTCTTCTCCAGCTCCGCACGCAAGCTACATGAAGAGAACCCCCCTACTCGACTACCATGGTCTTTGTGTACATACCAGGTGAAAAAGCAAATAATATCAGAGCAAGCGGCCCTTTAATCGGTCTTTCATTTATCGACGATTTTTTTTTCTTTCTCTTTCTAACAGGCAAAGAGGAAAATCAAAACGTTGGCAAAGGAAGCAGGAGATCCCTATTCCACGCCCAGACTGGATATTTCCGGAACTCATTGTCGCATTTCTGTATTTATTTGAAAGCCGTTTGAACAAATATAGGTTGGAAGATTTCAACACATGTCCCCTTTTCGGAATGGTTCCATCTACAAAACGCCTTTCTCATCTATTCTGTTTGAGTTTATCAGTTAGTGAAGTTACAACATTGCGTGATGCTGTTTTCTATAACACAATGATAATAATAACAACAATAATAATAATAATGATGATAATAATAATAATAATAATAATAATGACAATAGTATTTGTAATAATGACAAAAATAATAATAATGATGACAAAAATAATAATAATGATGATGATAATGATGATGAAAAATAAAAATGATAATAATAATGATATTGATAAAGATGATGATGAAAATGATATTGGTAATAATAATAACAAGGAATATTAAGGGGCTCTAAAAAGTGTCTAGTAGTAGTAATCACATAATTTGATTTCGATTTATTATCTCTGTATTCCATATAAACTATAAACAATTTCCGTAAAATAACAAATATAAAATACTAAAAAGTACTTTCTGAAAAATGAATCATAAATAAGCAATTGACAATCATCATAAAAAAACGAAAGGATAATTGTCATTATGATCATATTACATCACAATTTGTGAATTTATTTGCGGAAGAAGGACTTCCTATTTGAGAATGAAAGCTAAAATAATATATATTCGATCTTCTTTAGGAGGTTTGCAAATATTCAAATCACCCGTCTCCAATTAATGAACAGTTTTATCGATATGCGTGTCTGAATTAGGTTTCCTTGAGACAGACAGTGAACAATGTATATACCTAGTGCGAGATGTGATTCTGTTATATCCGCTCGAAAATATGATGTGATATTGCATAACCTAACTGTGCCGCGTGCCTCTATTAAAGCACAGGAAATCATAGAAATTCTGAAACCATATGTGACCTCCTCTGGATCACTTTAACAGTCGATTCTCGACAAAATAAATCTATAGCGACATGGACTATTGTAGAAATATGCGGAACACAGCAGGATTTGCGGATCATTCGTAGTCACAATGATGTCATTGAAAATGTGATTAACATGGATTCGGAAAACCCTTTTTTCCCCCTTTTTTTTATCCTGATCGCTTCATATAATATTTTGTTATATTCCTCAAATAAAACTTTACTAGTAAGTTTTTTTTTACAAATACGTCATGGAAATAAAACAAACTTTAAATAAAGGTGCGATAATTTCGAGCAACTAATGATTAACACAATACATACAATTACAACTCGTTTTATTCATCAATATATTTTGTCTTTACTTTTAACTCAACTCCTCAAATATCGGGCCTTTACCAGGCGCGGATCCAGGGGGGGGGCCGAGCGGGCCTTGGCCCCCCCCCCCCCCGCATAAAAAAAAAAAAAAAAAAAGAGAGAAGAAAGGAAAAGAAGGGAAAGGGAAAGAGGAGAGAAAGGGAAAGAAAGAAGAGGAAGAAGAAAAGAAAAGGGGGAAGAAGGAGATCGGGGGCGAAAGGGCCTTGCCTCCCAGGCTGTTGACCCCCCCCCCCCCCAATCAAAAAAATAAGAGAGAAGGAAGGAAAGGGAAAGAAAAAAGGAAAAGAGGAGATACTGGCGTACTGATAGGGGGGGGGGGTTGGGGGAAATCAAATTCAAATGTGGTTTTTTTCTAATTCCACAACGGTGGATTACAAATAATGCTGAAATGACATAATTTTCGAGATTTTCCTCACTTTTTAGTAAATTATACGTTTGTATGTATTTGTTGGAAAATGACAAATTCCTAAATTTACAGCCAGGCAAGAAATATGATTCTTGAGATTCCTACATGTCAGGGCCCGAGGTACGGCGGGGATCGGGAGCCCTGAGCTCCCCCCCCCCCCACACTTTTTTGAAAAAGTATATTAAAGAGAAATAAATTAGAATGAGAGAAAGAATAGTTAACTGCCAGTGTTAAAAAATAATGAGGCATCAAAATATGCTCATCTGACCGTGATTAATGCCTAAAACCCCTAAGCTTCCGGGGGCTCTGCCCCCTGGATTCCACCTACGGCCCTACGGCGGGCCCTTAGATGCTCATCTGACGGTAATTTCAATGCCTAAAACCCTTGATTTTGGCGGCTCCGCCCCCTGGACCCCATGCCAAATATTGACCTGCCAGTGTCACAAAATAATAAGGTATACAAAAAATGCTCATCTGACCTTAATTAAACGCCTAAAACCCCTGAGCTTCCGGTGCCGGCTCCGCCGCCTCGACCCCACCAGGGGCCCTAAGACGGGCCCCTGAATGCTTATCTGACCGTAATTTATTGCCTTAAACCATTGAGCTTGCGGGGTTAGACAAGGTATCAAAATGTGTTTATCTGACCGCAGGCGCGTAGCCAGGGGGGGGGGGGGGGGGGGGGAAACTAAATTCCGATGAGGATTATTTTCGAGAACGGTACAACGAATCGTTTTCTTTCTCTAATGATTTAATGAAAATTAAAAGCTTCCGCGCTTCGCGCGAGAGGGGGGAACCTGAATCCAGACGAGGATTAAGAGTCGAGAACTGTACAACGAATCATCTTCTTTCTCTAATGATTTAAGGAAATCTAAAAGCTTCCGCGCTTCGCGCAGGAGGGGGAGGGGGGGGGGGGGGACTGAATTTAGACAAGGATTATGAGTCGAGAACTGTACAACGAATCGTCTTGTTTCTCTAATGATTTAATGAATCGTAAAATTTTCCGCGCTTCGCGCGGGAGGGGAAAAAACTAAATTCAGACGAGAATTATTTTCGAGAATGGTACAACGAATCGTCTTCTTCCTCTAATGATTTAATGAAAATTAAAAGCTTTCGCGCTTCGCGCGAGAGGGGGGAACCTGAATCCAGACGAGGATTAAGAGTCGAGAACTGTACAACGAATCGTTTTCTTTCTCTTATAGTTAAATGAAACGTCAAAGCTTCCGCGCTTCGCGCAGGAGGGGGAGGGGGCACTGAATTTAGACAAGGATTAAGAGTCGAGAACTGTACAACGAATCGTCTTCTTTCTCTAATGATTTAATGAAAATTAAAAGCTTCCGCGCTTCGCGCGAGAGGGGGGAACCTGAATCCAGACGAGGATTAAGAGTCGAGAACTGTACAACGAATCATCTTCTTTCTCTAATGAGTTAAGGAAATCTAAAAGCTTCCGCGCTTCGCGCAGGAGGGGGGGGGGAACCTAAATTCAGACGAGGATTAAGAGTCGAGAACTCGACAACGAATCGTCTTCTTTCTCTAATAATTTAATAAATCGTAAAATTTTCCGCGCTTCGCGCGGGAGGGAAAAAACTAAATTAAGACGAGAATTATTTTCGAGAATGGTACAACGAATCGTCTTCTTTCTCTAATAATTTAATGAAACGTCAAAGCTTCCGCGTTTCGCGGAGGAGGAAGGGGGAAAATCGCCCCTCCCTGCACCGCCTCCCCCCCCCCCGCATTACGTCACTGTTGGTCACCATTACGTACCAATATATGGCTCGCATAATTTCAAATTTGGGCCCCCCCCCCTAAGAAATCCTGGATCCGCGCCTGCTTTACAACAGTTTTGGGCTAGTTCGGCAAGGTCAGAGCAATTAAATCAGTCTAGATTGTCATTGGAGTCTAAGTAATTATTAACTTTTCAATTCTTCTCTTCTCATACTGGACTATATATACATTCGAGTTACAATAAGCGACCTCAGTCTCACCGTAAGACCAAACTCAAACACACCCATTACAGACAAAACCTTGGACATTCGGGGTAATTTCATTTTTTTGGGGTTTATTGTAGGTCTGGTCTGGGTCTCATCGTTATGATTTTATACTGCAGTCACAACAACGAGACCTACAACAGACCGACAACAGATCGAACAAAACACAACTACACCCCAACGGCCAAGAATAGGTCAATTTGAAATCAGTGTGGGGGTCAGTGTGGCGGTGTGACTTCTCTTCTCGTTCGATTCAACGTATCAAGGGTCATTCTGCACTATATACATTCAAGTGACAATAAGCGATTATGTTGGATGGTGTCGAGACGAACTGGATATATTGAAATGGGACTGGGGTGGAGTAGGGAATTGCAACCAATGACTGTTGACAGTTGTGTAGC